ACATATGATTTCAAGTGAACATGAAAATACACACAAAGCTTATTTCATTTGTGTGAGTAGCACGAAACATCCACACACGCATTCTCTTTAACTTTTCTGATTTCTTTTGATCAAGATAGAAGTTGGACTAGAATTTCTCTTAAAGATGTTTTTCATATTTACTATCATAATTGTTATAACTTATCATTATTGCTTTGTAAAGAATTTCTTTCAAAATCTGATCTCAGCCTAGAGACCTTTAATTTGCATAAAATTTGTAGCATATACTAAAGCTGTAGTGGAGATCCAAAACATGTGACAAAAAACAGCTCATCCGCACCCTCATGATTTCCTGTTCAGATTCATTCTATACATTTAATATTCTCCTTGGAAAGAGCATGTTAAAACGCTGTGTCTATGAGAGTCGGTTTTTATTTCTTACTTTTCTAGAGAAAAACAAAGAGAACACATTCATATTTCAATATTTTTGGGAGTTTTGAGAAAGAACCTAATAATGCATTTCTTTGTGACTTTGCGATAAAGAGAGGTGAAAGTAGAGTAAGACTTGGCTAAGAGTAACAGGAAACTTTTCTTCTGTTTGCAGAGTATAATTGCGTCCTTTTTGTAAAAGGTTTAACTAATCAGTATATTAACATATTTTATGTAATGACTTCTCAGTAAATCAATATCTATGAAAGAGATTTCTATTATGTCTATTATGTCTATTATGGGAATTATTTTTGTTGTACTCGTTTATCCTTCGATTTGTCCTTAATTTTCAATTTTTCCATCTTAACTTCTCGTGAGAAATTATTGTTATCTGATTGTTATTAATAGATTATTAATGAAAACATCGAGAAATCGAAACACACGTCAAAATTTAGTTTTTTGATTTGATATTCTCATCGTGCTCAACGTCATCTAAAACCTCTAAATCCAAATTCTTTGTGCATTTGGTCGAGTTGATAAAAAGTTAGATCAATTTTACTTCCGAACCCTCACGAGGATATATGAAGAATATGATCAAAAATCATTTTCCATAAACTTGAGTTGTTTAAGGTAACAACGAATCTACAAAAATTTTTGTGTAATATACAGAAAGATAGAGCGTCAAAAGTTGAACAAATCTGTTGATGTATATATTACCTTTCAATGGGTAGATCCAGAGTTATTTAGAAAATACTGTTTATGAGTAGCAATTTTTTCCAGTATATCACCTGTCATTCAGTCATTGTTAAGGACCTCAGTCTGAATTTCACATATGTTGTATAGTTTTTGCTCATCTACAAAATCGTAAAAAAGTTTGAAAAAAACTTTCTAATGATGTCGAAAATTGTCTTACAATGTTGATCAAATAGACAGGATTTATGAGAATCAATTATTATTAATACTTTTTCTGATCAAACTAAAATTTTTAGTCGATTATAAACTATCTAAAGTATCTTACACACAAATACGGAACTTTTTTTATTAATATATGCTATATATAAACTAATAAATCAACGCATATTATAATAGAAGAAGATAAGATCGATTATCTATTCTTAGGTAGATATCACTATAACAAAAAAGAATGCGATTCGAGAGATTTTCATAGGGAAAAATATTCGGACAACACAAGGTTCTGATAATTTATTCAATAATAAATTAATACAATTAAATAAAGACAACAAGAGTTATTCGTTTTAACAACATTATCGTGTGTCCGTCCATCGACTCGACTTTATTCCGTTCGTAATCGTATATCCACTTCTTCAGAGAGAAAGAGAGAGTACGATAACGAATGATATATTAAGTATATGAAGAGAGACACAAAGAAACGAATAAATGAAAAAACGCATATGAGAAATATTATCAGAGGAAGAGAAGGGAGAAATACAAAAAAGAAAAACATAAAGAGAGGCATATAAAAAGTTACGCGTTGTTCGGACAAGCATAAGGGTATTATATTAAGAGATGTTCAACTTCTGACGTAATCACGATTAGTTTTATTTTATTCGTACGTAGGATATCTTACATCAGGATTTGAGTTTTGAAAATATTCGTCCAGAAAGTAGACCAAGATAGAGCTCAATGAGTTCTATTCAATATACTAATTAGTTTTTTCAACTGACTATTCTATGGCACCTACAAACTGAAAACACTGTTTAAAAAACCATAAAAATCCTATAAAGTTTACCAAAAACCCCGTGGGATTCGTTCAGAAGGTAGACCAGCAAATATAAATGATGGAGCAAGATAGATCTCGACGAGATTTATCGATTTCACTCCGTTTCAGCTCGGTTCTGCCAAGCTATTGTGAAAAAAATTCTTAATGTATATTTTAATAGTCAATTATTTATTAATTTCTTTGAAAAACCATGCTCAGATCGATTCAAACGAAGTAAATTATGATTTTATGTAAGTTCTGATCAACTCTATGAACTATAGATTTTATTTTTAAAATAATAATCTATCAACATTGAGAAAATTATTTTTTAGTGTTTTTTTATATAAACCAATGATAGATGGCACTATGCATTATTCAACAATGTTCTTATCCGAAAGCGCATATAGGGTCTAAACAGACTAGAAAAAGGCGAATTAACTTAAGTTAAATTGAGAAATATGATTGATGCATTAAAATTTAAGTCGTCTCAAAAAGATGAGTTTAGTTGAATAATGTGATACGATTGGTGAATTACAATTTAGTTTAATTCGTTTTTTTTTCTAGTCTGTTTGAGACCATACATTGTAAAATAAAATGTGTCAGATCTATTGCAACGAGCACCTTGTGTCGTGTTTCTTGCGTTCTCCGCTTGAAGAACGTAAGAAACACGACACGAGGTGCTTGTTACGATGCATTTTATTTTAGTGTGTACATATACATATATTGACAAAAAAGAAAAATATATGTATAGACTGGAAACATACTAGACGAATTAAAACTGAATTAACAAATAAGTCAGGTTGAATAGCTGACTTAAATGTGAACTAGCCAATGACATTGTCAATTCAATTTTAATTCGTCATAGTATGTTTTCGGTCATAGTTATAATTCAGGTAATCGATCAAAAACAGTGTTTCTAACAGAAATCGAAACCCGAGTATCAATTAGAAGTTTACCTCCACATTTTCCACGTTTTTCCATCAAAAAAACAGAGTGTAAATCAAATTAAACGCGTATCACTGATACTTTGCTCTGATGTATGATACGTGTTGTTAGAAACACTAATAGACAGGGAAGAAAAAGAAAGTTGATTGATTCATTTCGTTCATCCAATATACATTAGAGATTTATAGATGGCACATGCTATTGGCTGGCAGTGAGAATTTTATCGAAATAATAATTAAAATGGAATAAAGTAAAAAATAAAAATGTTCAAAATTGTATAAGGACCAGGAGACCTACATAAGGCAAAAATTTCCGCTCGAAATTCCTTCATTTGCAAGAGGACATTCTTATTGGATTTTTGGATTTTCAAAATCCAAAAAATTCAAAAGAAACCCGAAAATCCTAAATCCACCGTTTCCCCTAAATAGAACATGCTGAAAAATCCAGTCTTCGTTTACTTAAATCAATAAAGGAGACAACAGAATAAATCAATATTAGAACAAGAACAAAAAAAAATATACTTAGAAGTTTAAAAATATTTGAATTAACTCAGTAAGAGAGAGAAACTAACGAACATTTAATACCATCAAAGAACAGTTTACTTAATGGATGGTTTTGGAAAAAAGTTTTCGCGGTTTGCCATACTTATTTAAAGAAATGACATTCCACTACGTTCATACAAAGTCGTTGACGTGATATTTCCTCGTAAGTTTGATCCATTCAACTGACTTGTAAGAAATCATTTACTTCAAAATGATTTCTCGAGCGTGAATTAAAAAGTTAAATGGATTAAGTTTCATAGTTACATCAATGGAATATTATTTCTTCGAATAGATATAGAAAAGTGTAACAAGTTTTTGACTATCCTGCGAAATTGACTTGATATTGATAAGCGACACAGTTTTGATCGATTTTGATATTAAATAATGATACCAATTTAATTAGTTCTCTTCCTGATGCTACAAACGCATGATTTCCATCTGGCCATCACCCTATACGCACATCACCTAAACTTGTATTATAAGGGCCATTTGATCGTTTGATGCATTGCGGTGATAATAAATCAAGGTATATGGATAGCTTTGAAACGGTATGGTCATATGTGGTACATATTTGATGAAAAAATCTGTCATAAAGTATGCTTTGACTAAGAGAAATATTATAATTATCATATAGAATGCACATGCCAAGTACACTGACATCTTCAATAGCTAAAGCGAAATGCTGATTGCATCCTGCTAATCCATCCCAAGTCGTAAGATTTGAACCAAATGCAAATATAAGATTTTTGGTATTTAATGTGGTATCATGAAATACTGCACAAACACTACGACTAACATCGACCATAATGACTGTGTTGGCATTTAAATATGTCAAATTAGTGCCTTCATCTGAAGAAGGCATTTTCCAGAATGATGTACATATTCTATCTAAATTAAAATAAGTATATCAGAGAATGATCAGAAAATATTTTTATAGTTCAGATTAAGATATCTTTACATTTAACGAACTAGAACTGTTAATAGATACAATAACTTATCAGATGAATTATTGAATTCTATTAATTTATAATTGCTAAGAAACTTTAAGAACAGAAATTCATATATCTAGCATCGCTCTCAATCATAGACATGCCATGTTATGTAAGTATATTTGGCATGTCTTTCACCTTAAACAGTCGATTTATTCTTCTTCGAAATCCATGTATTTATTAAATTCCTTCAGTCTATTATGTACTGTATGCTCACAAAAACAAAATAGTTCTTTGAGTTCACCAAGAAATCAGAGTTTAACCATTTCACATATGTCTTCTGTATCTTTTTACTTGTGACTGTTGGTAATGTTGATAAATAAAGATAAAAAATCTAACAATCACTGATATTCTGTTAATAAACATTTAATGATAGACAAAAAGTGTCAGATATTGTTAAATTTCTTCCTCTATAAATGTGTTATTATAAATATTATCTATAAACTTTTCATTTTGAAAATTGAAGACAATTGCATTAATCGAATGAACAAGATTGATAATAATTAATGGTTCACTGTATAATAAACGCTGAGGAACAACTGTGTCATCAAATTCAGCAGTATTACAGGTAAAATATTGATGTGCACATTGAGCTGCACAAATTAATTTACTTTTTATATTCAATTGAGCAAGTAATGAACCATTAGGATTATAGGTCATGTTTTTATATTCATTACCATTCATCTGATAAAATGTACTAGATATATAAATAATCATCGAACAATAGATTATAAATACAATAATATATGACATATTTACTATCTGAAAAATACATTATATATCTTCGATATTTTATCTTAAAAAAATATTTATTTTTTTCTTGTCTATTGATAATTTTTATGTTAATTATGATATATCATAAAAACGGTTGACTAATATGGGTGTTACTTTATCTTTATTTTACGAAATAAAGATAAATAAAATCTTTATCTTAATAAAATAAAGATAACGAAAATCTTTTTTTTGTTCAAAAATAAAAATAAAAATAAAAAAAATCTTTATTCTCTATCAAATAGAGATAAATAAAATCTTTATATTCGTGAAATAAAGATAGAAAAAAATTCTTTATTCTTTATAAAATAAAGATAAATAAAATTTTCATATATAAGATTTTCTTTATCTGTATTTTTTATTATAAAGAAAAATAAAATAAATTAACATCCCTAGTGCACGTAGGTAGGTAAATAGGTAGATAGATAGGTAAGTGGATGTGGGTGTGGGTATTGTCTTTTTCCATCCATACCCACACCCACACTCACTCCACACCCACACCCATCCACACCCACACCCTCAAGTAAGCATGCGTTCAAATTATTGTTATATACCATAGTTCAAAAGTCTTGCCAATGATGAAAAGCATATTGTGTAGCACAACCTATATAGATAACCAAGGAAAATGATCCCATAAACCATACTTAAAACTGAAAGACTGTTCATGTTTTTCTCTTCGTTGATACCAATTAGGAACCCTCTAATAATGATACCCAAACATGTCACCTGTTTGAGCGATGTGTTTCAACGAAAGAAATATTAAAAAGAATAATTTCGATGACAGTTTTCAATGCAGAACCAATTACAAACGAAGATATATTTAGATGTTTGCAAGTCAAATTTGCAAAACTAAAGCAGCCAGTGGAAAGATCTCATGAGCATATGGAGATTTTTCTGAAAACTGGCGACGATAGAGAAGACGAACGATTTGGTTTGTTTTACAGAAGATACTGATTAATCCTAGGTTAGTCACAGATTGAAACCACGTTATAAAAAATGGAGCGTTGAGTCCTATATTATTTGAGCTAAGTAGATATTTATTTAATAACATAGACGGAACCGACATCAAGAAACAGCCGGGCAGCAGCTCAGAGAACGCTAGTGTTGATAGGATTTTCTTCTCACGTGAAGGACCGAGTGTTTACTATATTGCTCCAGAAAATATGTACTAGGTTTCTTGTACAGATTTATTCTATGCATATTATTCGTGTAGATCTGTTTGAATAATTTTGTATGTAATTCTTCTAAAACAAGGATGATAAATTGTTTGGTTATATGTATAAATTGTTTGTATTCTTCTACAAATCTTTGACAATCTAGATTCTTCTCTTTTCAAATTTTTCATTGATCTTTGTATATATTATATACTCTAATCTTTATTTTGAATCTATTGAAGAAATGGATAGCTCCGACTGATTAGACTCATTATGGCTCTATTGTGTCAAATATAAAAGTCAGTTATTGTATTAGAAAGTTCTGCTTTTCGTTACCACTTTGTACAACACTCGACTATAAGTGTGACTGCCAGTCTTTCCTTCACTCACAGATCATATTATTAATAAATTTCTTTTATAACGTCTGTACACTCCTACATTCTCTTTGGACTTCGTCAAGCATGAGGTTTAATGACTCTTATAGCCTAGGTAATCGTTTGATTGGATATGTTGATGACTTCCTTGACGAAGAATCGAAAAGAATTCATGTGAATTTTGATCTTTTTCGATTCAACATTTGCATCCTGAGATAGTTCTTTCAATCTTCGATTTTCTGTCAATGGACAACTAACAGAAAAGAATTTTCCAATATTCCTTTGTTGTATTAGCTCAAGCTATTATCTTACTCAAAATCAGACACATCATCCATTCGATTATCAAAAGTTTTAAAATAGACATGATATTACTTACGGCTACATTTGTCTCTCCATATTTCGTTCTTGATCAGTCACAATTTTAAATTTTAGGTGTGGGTGTGGATAATCAAATTACCAACGCTCACACCCCACACCCACACGCACCCTCGATCATTAATGGACTAGGCCATAGTAGCTTCTACACATCCTGTTTTTTGAGCTTTTTTCGACAGTACATACTTCATTCACCATTCAGCATTATAGTGTAAAAGTGTAAAACGTTCTCACATTAATGCATTTCTCTTTCGAGAAAATTATAATTGATCTAGAGATCTGAAAGCATCTCATGAAACTCATTGAGTAGATTCAAAATGTATCGTAGTGGTTTCGATCACAATCATCTCTAAGTGAACTTACATTTACTACTTGACTTTCGAGTTGAAAGATAGTATTTTGTATTGATCTTTCGATCATTTGTACAGATAGTAGTCACTTGATAAAATTTCTTGAAAAATTGAAATAATTACTATTAGTATTGTGGTAAATCTGCACACTCACTCGCGTCGTAGCACCTTCTACACACCGTGTAAAAAAAGTTTTTATTACTTCGGTAACAGTAAAGATTTAACTTTGTTTCGAAATTCTTTGAAATTATCGTTACCCACACCTACACCCTCGTTCTTCCGTCGAGAGATAGGTCGAGATATTTATTGATTGAAAAATATAGCGGATTTTGTATTCGTATAGGATTTTTTAAGGATCAAAAAAATGGCAATGGATAATGGAAAATCAAGTGTTTCATCATTTTAATTCGTGGTAATGTATATATTATCCATTCGAGGGTATATCGCAGTTTCTGCCAGTATATTGGTTACGACAGAAGCAAAAATATGTGTTTCCATTAGGGAAACACTGACCACCATTTTTGCATGGGTTTGAATCACACGGTTGAGTACCTAAAAAGTATGGATAAGTACTGATTTCTGGTGTTAGAAGATTCATTTGATTTACAATAGAATATAAAAGACCTCTCTCTTTGTTTCTTCTAATGCATCTTCTTTGAAATCAACAGAAATGATCAAAATAATTTTATTTATATCTGCTCGAAAACATCAATAGGCAATCGTTTAGTTAACTAGAATATTTTGAATAAAAGAATATCACATCCCTTTCCTATTGGAATACCTTGTACATAATACCTTACAGTAATCTTTTTGAGAATTTTTCGCAACAATTTATTTGCTAAATAAAATTATTAATATGTTAAGTTGACTTTTGTCATGTAAAATTTGTATCTGATCAGTAAATAAACTGACTGTTAAGTGAAAATATTGAGCTCTAAGTTAATTTGTGATTTTTCAGTAAAAAATACTTGCTAAGTAAGAAAAAAAAAACTTATATCTACTTAGGGCAACCCAAAAGTAGTGGCGGAGATATTTAATTTTCTTATAAAAAATTTGAAAAAATTTTCTTTTTCTATGACGTGATAGAGAAAATGACGCTCTAATTTCTATACTATTCAATCATTATTCAGTTAATATCACAATAATAAAATTTTGATAAGAAGATTTTCTCTTGCAAACTGATTGATAACATTAGATCATAATGGGTGTGGCATTAAAAAAAATGGGGTACTTTTACATTTCATTTTATTATCACTTAGTACTTTGTATTTAGAAAAAAAAACAAAATATACCACAAAATTCAGCGTGAAAAGCTCTACAATTTGTAAAGGACCGCTTAATTTTATACTTGCACTTTTTGCTTTCGAAATGGGCAAAAGTATGGACGATTCAATTTCGACGTTGCAAAAAATGAGATATTTTTGGTAAACGACAAATTCGATTTGTTCTATCTCATCTTTTTATAGTTGTTCTTTGTAAATTGTAGAGCCTTTTATGCTGCATCTTGTGGTATATTTTGTTTTTTTAATACAACATACTAGATGATGATAAAATGAAATGCAAAAGTGTCCGATTTTTTTATGCCACACTCATGATGATCTACTGCTATCAATTAGTTTTCAAGAGGAACACTTCTTATCGAAATTTTATTATTATAATACTAGCTGAATAGTAATCGAATAGCATAGAAAAATAGAGCGTCATTTTCTCGATCACATCTTAGAAAAAGAAAAATTTTTCAAACTTTCTATAAGAAAATAAAGTACCTCCATCATTACTTTTGAATAGTTCTAAGTATTTCTGGGCAACTAGGTTTTATCATGTATTCATCTGCGTAGAGAGTCTCTATAAAGAGATTAGAATCGCAGCTCTCTATCTTGCTTTTATCAAAAATTGCTCAGAAAATAATAGAAAACTTCATATTCTGCATCCTTCATTCTTCTTGGAAAATCCCTCATAAATACCCCTAAAGTCTTCAAGAATGAAAATTGCCTTTAGAAATTCGAACAATAGACAGGTCAGGCAACATGTTTATATATATATACATATCCCAGGAATGGTATTTTTGACATATATGAACTTTTTAGGAGTGAGGTTGTGAATTATTAAATATCTCTTGGTGTTGTGGAACTACTTTTCAAAACCCAACCATATAAGCTTATCCGCCTCGTAGAAATAGAAGAAATTTTCTAATAGCGTCAGCTTTTTTCAGCTAATCACATTAAAGTTATGCAAAACGAAGTGCGACAAGGATAACTAAACCCAAAATTTATTATTTACACAGCGGTTTTTTGTCTACTATTGTAGTATATTTTCTCGTGGAAATACTGCTTTAGGAGAACACAGTTTAAATCAGGTGAAGTAACTAAATATCAATGAGTAATTTTTTTAAGAGCTAAGTTCTCTTTGAAAAAAAAGGTAAAAACCAATGCGCAGATTAATCAAAAAGACGTACGTGTTGGTGATGGTGGTATGCCAAGTAATATTTCACACGTAGCGCCCGCATGTGTTAATGGGCATCTACACTTTGGCTGGATACTGTCCATAAAGCAAATTCCTCCATTTTTGCAATAGGGCGATAAAAATTTGCACATGTCAAATGGGGCCGGTAATATTTGGGTCTCACAACGAGTGCCAGTGTAAGCGGGTAGACAGAAGCA